TGTGTGTGTGTGTGTGTGTGTGTGTGCGTGTGCATGCATATATTTTTCCTAGCTTGTTTATATACCATATGAAGAACATTAACCAGGAGCTGTATCCCTTTAAATAAGAGCTACCTGAACATTAAAGTGATGTCTTCACAGCATGGTTCTAAAATGTCCTTCTAATTAAGTTAAAGGGGGAGAGAAAAAGTGATGTTTTAGCCCTTGAGAATCTTTGTAATTTGTAGCTGTTCTCTTTTATTGCATTTGTATAATATGAAAGTTTTGACCATAGAGACTAATGTAAATACTTCCATGATCTCTTTAACCGACCAAATGCAAGGCTCTCATTACAGTCTTTTAATATAATAATGTTCTTTTCCCGAATTTTCAGTAAGTGTGGCTTTTACATGATGGAAATCATTTTATGCTTAGTGAAAAGCAAAATACATTTAATGCTTATAGAAGTCAAAGGAACCACTGAAAATAGATCTCAATTTGCTTTTATAGCATCTATTTCTCTTTGTGAGGTAGAGAAGTCACACTGGGAGAGAAGCAGGTGCCTGAAGGGCGCTCTTACGGGAGACCATCAGCCTCAGGAAGTGGCAAGTGTTGAGGCATATTATCTTTTCCCTGATTTACACTCAGGTGCAACGTTCTCTCCACTTAGCTTGCCAAATGCTTGTCTCTGCCCACATCCTCCCTGTCTTTCTGTTCTGTTGTCACTGAAGGGCTGACAGCAAAACCCCGCATGCTGTACATCTGAATTTTTAAAGAAAACCAACACTTTATTGACTGCTGTGGTGCTTTTCTCTGATGCTCTATAATTTTTTTTTTGAGCAAGGATACATTTTCTTCAGGTCACTAGTTTTTATTAGCATAATGATCAGTTCTTCTTTGTAGAATAAGGAAAAGTCTGCTTCAAATAATTTCTGGCATTGAAGATAAGAACAGAACTTCACTGAAATTCTTGTTGCAGAGAATGATATGTGAAAGAATAAGGATGCCAGGAAGCTTTGTCCTAGCAAGTAGTTTATACTAATAATTAAAATGTTGTATCATAAGGAGAGTTCAACTAACCTGCGCATGTCAAATTCTTGTGAAAACATAATTATGTACCACTCAAACATATTTAAAATATAAAAATCCAAACCTCCAAACAAGCTGTCATAAACAAATTCCCATTTTTATTTTTGCTAATTAGAAATGAAATATATGTATTTTAACAAAATATGTATTTGCTAGTTTCAAAAAAAAAGAAAAACAGAAAATGTGTATCACATGTAATTTGCTTAGCAAATATTTACTTGTGACTGAGCTGTTTCAAAGATTTGAAAATAGTGGCCTAGTTTGGAGCTGCTATGCTTTTAGCACAGTTGTTCAAAACTGATTTCATTTTGTAAAATTTCCTCTTTGGACTGATAATTCATTTTAAAAGTGCATCATTGAAAACCCTCAACATATTAATTATAGAGTATTATTTGTGTCTGTTTGCTCTAAATCTTATGACACAGTTGACCAAAGTTAATCCAAGTAAGAATACCATGTGGCTTTTTATAAAGATTATTTTCAGAACTGAATAGTGTATACATGGAACACTTGACATATGGTTCATTTATTGGGGCCTAGTCCTTTGACAGAGTGTACATTTTATATGTACACATACGTGTGTGTATGTGTGAGAGAGAGAGGGGAGAGAGAGAGAGAGGGAGAGAGAGAGAGAGAGAGAGAGAGAGATTTATAGGAAGTATTTTATATCTAAACATGATAGATTTATAGGTATTTTTATGTTTCATTTGACCTTAAGAGGAATGGAATACACTTGCCTTACATTAACTTGTTTGCTGTAAATAAATATTTTTTCTTCGCTATTATTGGTAATTGTTCATACCTTAACTATTTTCTTCAACACTATTAACAAGAATACTTTCTTTACTTTATAAAGATTATTTTAATCTCCTTTATCAAAACCTAAAATTTAAGAATTATTGGATTAGCTATAAAGAAACCTGGGTGGAAGGTAAGGGTGCTAGACGAAACTGCCTTAATCTCTCAAGTGTTCAGTTTTTTTTTTTTTCACCTATGAAACAAGAGAAGTTTCCAGGGTTCTTCTAATAGGCATAAAGCAAATGTTTGAGGTTTTATAGCTCCAGAGCCTCCTATTTACTGATATCAATGCACATAAATAGAATTCAGAAGGTTCTCTTGCCTTGTCTGCTCTTCTCTCCTTTTGTTCTTCACAACTTCCAGGAAACCCATTTGTCCTTCTTAACCTATCAGTGATTTTAGATTTACAAAATAAAACATTATCATCCAGCAGACAAATTTATTCTACACAGTTAACTGCTTCTTGAGCCCCCATGGCATTTTAAAATGTTCTATTTGTATAATTAAATTCATAATAATAATAAAGATGCACAGCTCTTTGCTATGAAAAATGTGTTTACCTTATCAATAGAGTCTATAAATAATTTTGTGTTTTGTCTACTTGATCAATATAATTATCACAATTTGTTGTTTTGTTTACAATGCTACTAGGTTTTGCTTATGAACATAACCCTTTTTAAATTTGCTTTTTTTAAAATTGTAGGTGGATTATAAAAACCTTAAAAATTATATCATTTTTCCTCTGATATTATAAAATAATTACATCATTATCCTCCCCCCTCCAAACCCTCTTAAATGATTCTCCTGCTCTCTTTCCAGTTCATACTTTTGTTTTCATTATTTGTTGCTACACATATGTGTGTAAATGTATATACGTGTATATTCTTAAATACATAAATAGGACCTGCTTAGTCTGTATATTACTTACATGTTTATTCTCAGGGCTGACCATTTGGTATTAGATAACCAGATAGTGTGCTCTTCCCAGGGAAAGAGTGCTTTCCCTGCTGTCAGCCTGTTGATGCCTGTAGACCTTTGCTCAGGGTTGAGGCCTCCTAGCCCTTCTTTTATCTTCATTAGCAAGTCTACTGTTGTCATCCTTGCTCAGCTCATGGTAAGGCAGGTCTCGGTGAGACTCTATGGATGTGGCTTCTGACATTCCTATGAAACACAAATCCATAGCAAACTCCCTGATACTCTGGCTCTTACAAACTTTCTGACCTCTATTCCTCAAAGTCCCCTGTCTTTAAGTGTGGGAGTTGTATTGTAGATGTATCTGTTGGGACTGAGCTCAGATGGATTATATTTTTTAATTAGAAAAAATTAAAAATTTTAATTGGGTCAAATCCTTTTTACATTATTTCTTATTTTCCTTCCCTGTCCCCCTCCTCCCATTTACCTCTGCTTGCTTTCTTTCAAGTTTATTAATTGTTGTTACATATATATATATATATATACATATATATGCATATATATGTATATATATATATATATATATATACATATATATGCATATATATGTACACATATATTCTTAAACATAATCTACTCATTCTGTATTGTATTACTTGGATATATGGTTTCACGGTTGACAATATGATTTTGATAACTAGAGGTGTCATGAGGAGGACTTTATCTTATTCTTTCTCAGTATTGCTAGAGTTGTCTTTAGTTCTTAGCCCAACCAGTTGTAGACAGAAAAGATTCTGATTAAAGATATTTCTTTTCAGATTTTTAGAATACTTGAGTATAAGTGACAAATGTAGAGAATGGAGCTTGCCAGTCACACAAAGAAAACTAGTATATAAAAGAAGAATAAATAAAATAGTCCAGAGTTAAAAATGACATTAGAATTGAAAGCTAAGAACTTTTATACATTTATTATTACTGCATGTAATATAGTGTTTTTAAGTGTTAAATAGATACATTGAGATATTTGTAAAACGAGAGCAGAATTAACCAAGTACAAAAGTATAATGGGTGTGATTAATGAGAGACCAGATAGAAACTGCAGAGTAAAAGATTGGTAACACTGGGACATCAAGTCATCCAAAATGTGTGCCTTTAATCCCAGCACTCTGGAGGCAGAGGCAGGCGGATCTCTGTGAGTTTGAGGCCAGCCTGGTCTCCAGAGCAAGTGCCAGAATAAGATTCAACAATAAATTTTATCTAGTTTAAAGAAAAACACTAATATATTTGTAAACTCACAAAATCACACACACACACACACACACACACACACACACACACACACACACACACACACACACACACACACACGCCACTACCAGCAACAATAAAATATTTAACAAATTAAAGATATTTATCAATGAACTAGAGCTAACGAAAGAGAATACTGAAGATAGAATACCTTAGGCAAGACGTGACAGGAAAGAAAACAATATAGGCTAATCCCACTCACGTTTTAATCAACAAGTTGATAGAAACATAAAAGGTAATAACAATACTAGGACTAAGATATCAGCCATACACTGGAGTACGTCTGAAAGAGGACACTATTATCACCAAAGCTCGCCGTGTGGTTACAACGATGAAAACAGGGATAATGTGGACTAGTGGAGGGGAACATTTATGGAAATCTGCTTTGACAGTTTGCCTTGACTTTATGCTCATAAACCTCTCTGTGTGCCACACGGTTTTAAGAATGCAGGAGGAGGAGGCGAAGTGCCAGGGACATTTGGTGTAGGAATAGCTGAGTCTACAGCTGTGTCTGGCCACCCCTTTGGGGTTGAACAAACCTTCCAAAAGAGCTGCCCAAGACTACTGGAAAACACAGATATTTACATTACAATTCGTAACAGCAGCAAAATGACAGTTAATGAAATAGCAATGAAAAATAATTTTGTGGTTAGGGGGTCACCACAACATGAGGAACTATATTAAAAGGTAGGAGCATTAGGAAGGTTCAGAACGATTTATCTAGAGGAAATAGGCCCAACGAATTTTAAATAAAAGAAAAGCAAAAAGCAAAGCACATAGTTTAACAAAAGATACTGTTCATTCTCTGGTTGCTAATGTCCACTCTGGTAAAAACTTTACCTCTGAAGAGGAAAATGAGCATATTGGCACTAACGGAGTAAAGATAATATTGGCTTTTTTTTTTTCTTTTTAAGTCTTTCCTGCAATAGTGGCCACGTTAGCTGACATTATTCCCAGAAGTCTATAACTTGCACCATTGATTTCCTGCAAGACAGAGAAGCCCAGGTCCTCTGTGGAAGACAGCTTTGTGAAGGGACAGCAGAACACTTACACGTCTTTACCATCATGAATTCTCAAAGCAGACTATCAGTGGGAAGATCATGTCTCTGTTAATGGATAATTAAAAAAAATGGTTACAACTGGTCTCAAGTAGCTGTTTATGTTTGCAAAAGAATCATTGAAGATTATGTAAATTAGTCTCCTGCAGTGAGGTAAGTAGGAATTTCTATAGATTTCACATGACAAACAATTCTCTTGTTCTATTGTTTTATTATCAAATAAAACATACTTCTTATTTTTAATTTTAAAATTTCTTATAATTTCATACATGAGTACACTTTTTTCATATGTTCTCCTGAGTCTAATTATTGTTGTGTCTGTGTACATGGTACTCTAGAATCAACCATTTAGGATTGGGAAACCTATCAAGGAGATAGTCTCTGGAAAAAACTGAATCTCCCTTCCTCAGTAACTATTGATTGTGATTGCCAATAGGTATTCATCTAGGATTGTAGCTTTGTGAATTTTTTTTTTCTGTCATTATTGGTATGTCAACTAGTATAGTCATGTGTCAGTCTTGTTCAGGTGACCACATTGTTGGGCATTCATAGATGCAACAGCCCTGTCATGTGAGGAAGTAGCTACTTGTAACCCTAACTGAGTTAGGGGGACAGGTACAAATGAAAGTTGTTGACATAGCCTGTGATACGTGTGTGGTTACAGCCAGCTCCCTACTACCTTCCAATGTGTGGGTTTTAATGTGACCCTCCTAAAATGATTAGTTACTCTTCTTGTGACTGGCTGATAGAAATACTTTTGTCATACAAAGGAAACTATGAGCAAAACAAGGGATGCAGGGAAATGGATGCCTATTTAGCCAAGCAGGAGAAAGCTATTAAAAACGCAGGAATTTGGATTTCAAGTATAAGGCATATTATCAAATTTAGGGTTATAAGATTGCGGTTTCTGGCAAAGCATAATACATCCCAGACTGGATTGGAGAGTAGATGTACTCATTGGCTTTTGAGTTGTGTTTTAAATAGTTCATTAATCTTTGTGTATTTCATCAATAAATTTTTATCACTTCAAAAAAAAAAAGAAAAAGAAAAAGATTGCGGTTTGTGTACATCCCACTCATGACACTCACACTTGTTACGGTGACTCATTCTTCCTACAGTGACTCGTTTACCTTAAATATCTATACTGATAAGGTTTCTAAAGTGGTTTTTATTAGAGCGCTATGATTCGAAATAGAAAATACTGGAACAGGGTGGACATTTTACCCTGTCAGAAAAAGAAACTGATTGTAAAAACAGTGTCGAGAAATGTAAGATCAGCAGGGAATCCTGGGCTTTTTACAACCATGTGGCCAACAGGGCTGAGTTGGTCTGCAAAAGGCTTGGGATTAGTAGCCAGCAGTGACTGATTCTTGCAGTGGAAAGGGAATGCACTCTTGTGTGATCACCCAGGAAATGCAGAGGGCATGTGAAGGACACAGAACACCTGGCTTGTAATCATTTACATTAAAAAAATCATAACTGAAAAATGTATCCCAGAGCTCTGCTGCCAGTACTTGATATTTCAATGGAGTTTGTCTAAATGGAGAGGATGCTGGCTCATTTCAATTAGCCATGCTGAGTAGAATTACTGCATTGCCCAAGTATTGTTCTATAGGACAATTAAGCACAAAGAACTCTCCAAGTACAAGAGGGATTTGTTTTATTAAGAATATGACTGAAGTGAGATCATTAAATCCCTCACTCATCTGATATGACAATAGAAAAGTGTTCTGCTCCTTATATAACCCATAGTCAACATTACAAAGCCATAAATTATTCAGTCTCACATTTACATGGAGTTTTGTGAAATGGCTTTCAGTACATATTTGTGATTTCTTCAACACAGTTTTTAATTTCACCTTCATTCATCACAGTCTAGTGAAGTGTTTTCTGAATTCAGAAACAGTGGGAGGAAGCTGGCTTCTTGGATTGATGAGCTTGTGAGAATTGTTTCTGTAGGAAAAGTAAACAACAAAATTTGTCACCAGGAGATATATGGAGGACTTTCAAATGTGATTGGCAGTATGATGGCGTATGCCGCTCTGTAGACCACGAGTATGTGTTATTACTATTGATTCATAAAGAAGCTGATTTGGCCAATAGCCAGGCAGCATATAGCTAGGCAGGAAATCCAAACAGATACAGAGAGAAAGAAGGTGTAGTCAGGGAGATGCCATGTAGTCTATGGAGAAGCAAGATATGGGGTAATAATCCACAGGCTTCATGCCAATACACAGATTAAGAGAAATGGGTTAAATTAAGTTTTAAGAGCTAGTTAATAATAAACCTGAGCTAATAGGTCAAACAGTTTGCAGTTAACATTAAGCCTCTGAGTGTTTATTTGGGAACTGGTGGGTGGAGAGAAACATCTGGTTACAGCAGTACTGTAAAGTTGATCCTGTGTGCTGGTATGAGAGATTATGTCAATTTGAAAATACAGAGATATCCCACAAGTTGTGGGAAATAAGTTACTATATTTTAGTGACAGAGATACTCAACAGGGACTCAAAAGACAGGGGAATCCTGTCAGTTTTGTGGAGCTTCATTTCCACCCTGTCAGATCTGATTTGCAAAGCCACCTGAAAGAGATACTAAGTTCGGTGGGACTCCGAGAAAAAACAGGCACGGAAGGACCCTTGACCCTCATGACCTGATCATCAGCTGACTTCTGTCACATTTGTAACTAGATGATGTACTGACTTAAGCCTTTGGCGAAAGGCAAAGTCGTGCTCCCCAAGGATCACTGGGGATTTGCTTTCAAAAGCTTCTTGATACAGAGGCACTTTTTGGATCCTTTGAAGCATGCTTGCCATGCTTGTCATGCTATTACTGAGGGCAGAACTGAAAGTGACCCCAAGAATGAATGACAGAACAGACAAAGAAGGGTATGCAGGGAGCAGCTCGGAGCTCACCACTCAAAGTATTCTCTCCCAAATGTCCAAAAGAGCTCAGGAGTAAATGGCATCCTCAGCTGTCTACCTCACTTCTAGACTAATGACAGAGCTCTGCTGCTTTACCCTACCCTGCACCTCACCTTGCACACCATCTTCCCTTGTAGTTTGCACAATGCGTGGAGTTCCTCAGTTAGGGACTACAGTTTAATCAGGAATTGATGCAACATATTCTAAAGATCTCAAGTGGCTGATGAAGAAGGAAGGGGAAACAGATAAAACAGAAAGCTGTTTATTTATGAATAAGCAAGAAGAGTTTGGTGTGGATCTGAATATAGTATCTGGATGCTTATGTACCACTGTGCTCAAGTTAATACCATTTTGATATGGTCCTGATAACTGAATCAATAACCATAGCCCTCCTTTCCATACGGAAGAGCTGGTTTTCAGGCAAACTTAGCTATTATGAGTTAAATATGAACTGTCTCACACAAGTTCGTGTGAAGTCATGGTATCTAGTTGGTACGACGCTTCAAGAGGTTGAACACTTGTAAGATGGGGTCTGGTTAGAGATGTACACAATGTCTTTGAAATTCCTGCTCTGTTTCTGACCTTTTAATTAGTTTTTTACCTGCTTCTTGGATGCCACGTGGTGAGCAACTTTGTATTCCATTCTCTTCCAATGTGATCTCTCTCACCCAGGTCAGAGATGAGAATAGTAGTTCAGCATAAGCTGAAGCTCTCAGCCTACCATCCCAAATTAAATTCCTTGAGCTTAAGTTTCTTGAGTTTTGTCAAAGCAGCAGAAACTCTTTTACCTGCACCTGCAAGGCTGTCTGCATGAAGCTGATTTAGCCCTCACACAGCTAGTGAAGCTTTGTTCCCGACAGGCATTTACTGAAGTCAAATATATTGTTAAATAAGTTGTTTACTTCATGACTCCCTAGAGCAGTGGATAAAAAAAAACTGGGCAAATTAATTATTAACCATGCTTAAAAGGGACAAAATGTCCAAGGGACTTGGAAAACCTCTAATATATTTCTGGGAACCTGGAAAGCTACATGAGTACAAACACCCTGAGCTGTAGACATGATCAGCAGAGATTTGAAATGACCCTGAATTCGTCTCTCTTATCACTATAGCCACCAGGAAGAGAAGATTAAATCTGAGATTCAAACTACCTGGCTATGTGCTAAAGGTATATACTATTCAGATTCAGAACCCTTCAACAATGGCAAGAAATTTTGGCTCTGGGAATTTAAAGAAGTCTGTGACCAATCAACCACTAAATCACAGATTCAGAGCCCACATGCATTAAGAAAACAGATCTGTGAAACCAAATAAGAAGCATAACACACACACAGCAATAGTTCTTGGAAGTGGTGGAGGGTTCTATTTTCAAGAAGCAGGGGCCTTTTATACTTTGATGGCTAACACTTGGTCCTTGATATATTCGTGTATAATCATAAGTGATGATATATACATGCATAATCATTAGAAGTAATTGGTTTGCCCTCAGAAGAGGAGGAGGAAGAACTATAGGAGCCAGAGAGGTCTAGGACACCATGAGAATACAGTCTACAAAATCAAGAAAGCATGGCTCATAGGGGCTCACAGAGACAGAAGTGGCAAACAGACCTTGTATGGATCTGAGAGAGGTCCTCTGCATATACCTGATGGTTGTGTAGCTTGGTGTTTCGGGATGACCAAAAGTTGGAGTGGGAGTATCTCTGATTTTGCCTGCACTTGAGACCCTTTTCCTCCTGCTGGGATGCCTTGTCCAGCCTTGATATGAGTCTGTGTCCAGCATTATTGTATCTTTTTAGGCCATGTTTGGTGGATATCTCTGGGAGGCTTGCTCTCTCTATTCTTTCTGTCTCTCTCTCTCTCTCACTCTCTCTTAGGGAAATGGAGGAAGAGGTGATTTTGGAGAGAGGTGAGGTGGGAGAAGGGACTGGGAGGAGTGAAGGGAGGGAAACTATGGTGGGGATGTAATGTACGAGAAAAGAATAGAAGTTAAAAAAATATTGGTTTATAGTTTCTTGTTATATTTTGTCTGGTTTTAGTATAAGGTTAATTTTTGCTTCATAGAATGTGCTGAGAAATGGTTAATTCTCTTATGTAATTTGGGGAAATTTTTGATAATTTTGGAGGGAACTACATTTGAGAAAACTCCTCCATAAGATTGGCCTAT